TCGGAGGGAACAGGCTGGCTCTGTGTGGGGCCCTCCTCGGGGTGGGCAGTCTCTGTGAGTCCCCCAAAGCTCCCTCTGCCTGGGCTAAACGAGCCCTGCTCCTCAGCCTTTCTGGTCAGGGTGTGCCAAGAACACACAGAGTAGCAGTGGAAGCTCATGGACAGGCACCTGAACAGTCCTTGGGGATAAAGAAGGCAGGATACAAACTCCTCTGGAGCTTACAGACAGGCACCTGAACTCCTTGGCGATGGAGAAGGAAGGACACAAGCTCCTCCCAGTGTGCTGGCCAGGGATGCCTCTGTTCAGCTCAGAGGGCTGTTTTGGTGCTCTTGTATTGTTTTGTTTTTTTTAACCCCAGAAACAAGCATTGGCAAGAACTGACTCTACATTTACAATTCAGCTCCCAGACCTTAAGCCTTCCAGTGTAAACACTGATTTTATATTTTTTTTTTACCTTGACAACCAAGCAAGTTTCAAGTGCACTAATTACTACTACTGAAGCCTGACAAGGAACCTGCAAGTATAGAAGTTGTTTCCAGTGTTATGTGTACAATAATATCTGAAGAATGTGCTCTGGAATCATACTGACTTTGTGTTTACTAATGTATTTTTTTTATGGAAACTCTTAACTATTTTATCAGTTTTCACTGGATAAGGAAACTGACTGCCAAGCTGTGCATTTTTACTACCCTGACAAAATTTATCAAGCTGCATGATGGTCTTCTATGTACATAGTGAACCTGTAAATAAAGTCCAGGTCATTGGCGGTTTCCTTGGAGTAACATCACTTGTGCATCTCACACAGCAAAACAACAGATGTGAGTGGCTCAGCCATGGCACTTGTGCCACGCCTTGGGGGTTACTAGACAGGGAGACTGTCTGGAATTTTGGGGGAGCATCTCTAGACGAATCTGATAAACTCAGCTTTACAGCCTACTGCCACTGCTGTTTACTAACCAAGCCCTGCTGCTGCTTCATCTGTTTCTTGACCAATTCCATTCTTATTTCAGCTCAACTGAGTAAAATCAGTACAAGCAGCATTCAAAAAACCTGCTCGAGTAAACAACTGCTAGAAGGGCGTCAAACCACATAAAAGTTCTGTCTAGAAGTGCAGAGCCAAGTCCACAGCAGTGGCACTGGGAGCCACACATAGCCTGTCTGCAGGAAGGCTTTAAAGAGTAACACTGAGCCTAAGGAATTCAAAATAGCACATGATCCACACATTTTTAACCAGTTGGACAAAGCAAGATGACTGAGCAGCAAACACAAGTATTTTAACACTTTAAAGACAGTGACACCACAAAATCACTCAGCAGAAACAGCACTGCTTATAACGAGTAAATCAAAGCCTAAACACAAATACCTCACAATGCAGAGTTCAAGGAGACCTGCAAAGGCACTGTTACCAGGTTTGTTTATTTAACAACTCCAAGGATTTTATGACATACATCAGCCTCACAAAAAAGTTAAAAGTTCTCTGTTTAGTGGTACACAAAAAAGCTTTAGAAACTTGAAGTCTAACAAGAAATGGAGGTGTATTTCAGGAAAGTGCACTTCAAAGCTGAATGCCAGCAATTTTAAAGTAGTTTTTATGCTCTTTAGTACTAGGTGATGCCTCAGTCACAACTTTAGCCATACACACAACCTCCTTGATTTCCTTTTGAAATAAGCACTACAGAACAGTAGCACAGCAGCCACCCTTGGCACTTGTTTTTCCCTCACAGGTTTCCCACATATTCACTCCAAGTTACAAACACGATTGTGGCTGCTGGGTTACCCAAACCACAGCACCTCCAAGGGGTACGTGATGTGTGCGAGCATGGGTATATTTTATATAGGCTTCTCATATATAAAAATACACGATATAGGATAAAAAACTCCAGATAAACTCTTATTCTCACAGTAGCAAATACATCAACTTATTTTCACAGTACTTGGTTTAACTAACTGGGACACCCAGAGTGATTAGAAGGTATTTCCTCCAATGCTGGTGCTCACAGGGCCCACACACACACACGGGGCAGCCAGAGCAGGTAACTACACACCTCGTGGCCTTTGAGTCCACAGACAAGCACAACTACCTGGCTTTCCTTTCAATGACCACAACCAATAAGGGCTTCTTAGTACCCCGGGACAGACTCTCCCCGGCAGTTGATCCTAGAAGGCCTGTGCTTCAGTCCTTCAGCATACTGAAGGAGAAGCTGTAAAAATCCACGGGGATTTTCGGCCAGAAGGGAAGTGTCAGCCCCTTACCTTGTCACTATTGCCTTCCTGGGCAGCACGGTACATGCCTACTGCAGCAAGGGCTTCCTTGGGTTTCAGTAAGGTCACAGGGTGCTCCACGGTGAGCACACACCCCAAAAAAGGCAAAGGATATCCTGTTCCCTGACAGTCCCACATTCCAACCCCTTTGAATAGTGGATCATGGCTGAAATTAAATCCCAGCTTGGGTTTATTTGTGTATAAACAACATATACTGCACAAAGGCAGCTTAGTGGGGGGCACTAATCTCTCTTCAGTCATAAGAAAGGTAAAATAACTTTAGAAACAAAGGAATTGCATTTATACAAAAATCTGTTTGATATCAAGTGCGAAGAACCAGGTTTGTTAAGGCCACTAGGAAGCAAATGTCACAGGCCATAACTCATGTGCACCAGAGATGTTATGCCAGCTTTAGAGAAACTGAGATTTACAGTTTGCCTTTGCCTCATCTCAGTTTGTGCTCAACCTCACTTCAGCTTTGTTGTGCTGCAATTTAACCATGTACAGACCCTCTGCCAAAATCCAACCAAAGGGCCACACAAGGAAAACCTGCAGCACTCCTCAGCCTGGAGTCTCAGGGCAAACTGATAAAACCCAAACATATTTCCTTCTATTCTTAATTTACCTGAACGCTTCTGGCCACACCAGGTCTGCACAACCTTCTCCCTCTGCATCCAACAGCCTCCCTGGCCCTGGAGCCAAGCCCCAGTGCCACGTGCATGGTTAACCCTTCCCGTTGCTTTCCCACTGGGAAGGCAGCAGCTGTATGGCTTTGGCGAGGACCAGCCACATTTAGGACCGTGGTTTTACTCTCTGCTGTTTTACTCTCATTTTGTTTCTACCCCCTGTCCCATCTGTCATCTCTGTTCCAAGAGCTCTTCAGGCAGGTGAGTAACAGCTCTGAAGGAAACCAGGGAAGGCAGCTCATAAGCACGTGCAGAGGAAAAAAAAAGGAAAAAGACAGTTAACCTGAGTATCAGAAAATGCTACAAAACTTGGCATGTGCTTCTTACAGCCTTTGGCACCAAACAAACAGGTGAGAAGAGCAGTAATAAAGTCTAGGAAACTCCTGTGCAAATAGAGTTGAAACATTTCTACTCAGAACCTCCTATGAGCTTAACTTCTAAGCCTGGAAAAGGCACACTGAACCATGCTCAGCTGGAATATTCCACTTGCAGCCTGTGAGAAAAATTAAACCGAGGAAGATGAAGGTAGTGATAGTGTATGGATAGCTATGAGCTTCTTTCAGATACCAGGGTGAGGGGAAGCTCTCACATACACCCAAGGGAGTACTTGATCAAACTGACCCCAAAGGAGTCACGTGATTTGTATTCAATGTGTTTTGAGCAAATATTGTAAGGGATCCACACACCCCCTTCACAGATCTCAGGACCACTGTATAACCAGCAGGAGGCTTTGGGGAAAAAAAAGCACAACCCTGAATATTTCACTTTACCTCCTGTGACAGGGGGAGGCATGAGGACACCCAACCAACGCCGCCATCCTCCATGTACGAACATCCATTACCTATTTATTGGCATTCAGCGGAGCAGGATATAAAGGTGAGACTTGCCGAGGAACTACCTCCTTCCAGGGTCCTGCTCGTAAGGCTCTGTGGTGGGAATGCAGCTCACTGGTTCAGCAGCCACCATCTCCTGCTGGGCTGGAGCACAGCTGGGAGCAGGGAAGCTTCTCCAAAGCTCAGTGCATTCAGCAAAACTTACAAGAGCATTAATTAGGTTACAGTCATTTCATAAAACTATTATTGTACAAAACAACAGCCTTCAGAGAATACACATTTTCTTTGCAATAAAAATCCAAGAGGAAAAGAAAAGGTATTTTCAGACACAAATCCCAATTTGTAATCCAGTCACAGTCACCCCACAGTCAACTGTGCAAGTCAACTAAACACTCTATATGTGCCCAAGGATAAACCAGCCCCTCTTCTAGTGTGCTGAGGAGTCTCCCAAGTGCTGCAAACACTGACTGTGTCCCTGCTGGCTCACTCTCCTACATTCAGGCTTCTCACAAACCAGTATATTTTCTGTATCTTCAGTTTTGACTCTAAATTTCCAGTTTGCTATTTTACATTAATGGCACTTACTGGAAAAAAAAAAAAATTGACCATTTAGGCACGCAAAAAAATAATGTGCCTTTTATCTCTGCAGCTGCATAGATGTCTGCCAGGTCCCAAGCCATAGCTGTGCTCTGGAATTCTGGGCTACAGCCCCTTGAGGACGTGGCTGCTTTATCTTTTATGATTAATAAAGGTAGTTTTCACCTAGGAAGCAAAGACTATTTCCAGCAGATAATCTGGATATTAGTATGTCTTGGTTCTTAGGTCTGCTGCGACTGAAACACGAAGAACCACTGCAGTTCATTACTCCCCTGTACATATGGAAAACATTTTCCATGTGGTCCCTCTGCCTGTTCCCCTCCACCTTGGCACATTGCAGAGGGCCAGAAAGGCAATGCCAAAGTGCAGAATGACAGGATGTCCCACAGCCCCCAAGTCAGTGACAGTGATTCATATCCAATTCCTCTTTCCATTCTGGGAGCCATCTGCCATACCAAAATGGCCCTCCTAGTTTGTTTTTTCTATTTAAAAAAAAAAAAAAAAGAAGACCAAAAACTCCAATCAGAATTAGCCATCATTCACAATTCCATTGTGCAAGTGGGCCATGCCCTGTTGAACCTGAACAAGCTGCACAACCAAGGTCCCTCTCACTTCAACCACATAAATTACTCCACTAAACCTTTATTTAGGGACTTGGAGAGGATGGGGGGAACCCACCAAAAGCCTTTACTGTTTAGAAGGAAACGGAGCTGCTCCAAACGGATCTAACTCCAGTGCCTGCTGCTGGCTCTGCGCACTCTGCACCACCAGCTCTGTGAAGGGCACTGCACCAAAGTCGTCTGTTTTGAGCCCGTCCCCACCATGTACGGCCCCGTGCAGGGAGCTCTGCCTCGGCCTGCCGGCCACGACCACCGTGCCGAGGTCCCCGCGGCTGTCCCCAAAGCCCTGGTGCTGGGGGTGCCGCAGCAGCTCCGGTGGGTGGAAGGGCTTCGCTCCAAAGGGATCCAGCAGACTCTCGTCTGTCTGCAGAGGGTTGGTTCGGTCCTTGCTGTCGGTCAAGGCCAGGCTGATGTTCTCCTTGGAGTCTGAGATGGTGAGGAACTCGTTGCTGCTCTGGGAGTCCCTGCGTCCCGCCTTCTTGTGCCGGCGAGCTCGCTCCGGGGTGCGGTAGCTCGGCTTCAGCCCCTTCTTGGTGGTGGTGGGGGTGCCGTGGTGGCGCTTCCCGTTGCTCTTGGACACCTCCTGCTTCATGCGCCGCTGCCGGGAAGACAGTTTCTGCAGGCTCCGCTGCTGCTTCATCTTCTGCTGCTGCTGGCTCCCTGTGATCTCCTCAAAAGGAACCAGCCCAAACAGGTCCTCTCTGGTCCCAGCAGACTTGGGGAGAAGGGACGGTTGGAATGGGGTACAGCCAAAGATATCCACGCTCCGTGGAGACGTGGGGGACAGCAGAGGCTCCGTTCCTGACACCTGCCCATCTTGCTGGGGCACCTTTTTGCTGAAGGGGGCTTTTGTGAAAACATCAAAGTCGTCCTGGTCCTGGGCCAGGCTGGGAAAAACTGTCTGAGAAGAAACATCTTTGTCCATCTTCTCTCTTGCATGAGGCTGCAGGGTGAAAAAAGGCACAGCCCCAAACACATCGACTTCTTGGCCAGGGTTGATCACAGTGCTTGGCACCTCAGACGATGATGTGTGCATTGAACTGGGTTCCTGGATTTCACTGCTGCCCACACCGTCTCTGAACCTACTGCTCAGGAGCCCTTCCACTGATTTTTGCTTGGTACGGTCAGAATCAGAGTCAGAGCTCTGCTTCTCTTCCTCCTCTTCCTCCACCTCTTCCTCAGAGTCCATGAGGAGAGGGCGGTGGCCTAAATTCTCTGGTTCTGTATCATTGTCATCATTGAAGTCTCCGTTCTCCCCTTGCAAGACTTCTTCATCCTCCTGTTCTTCTTCTTCCTCGCTGCTCTTGGGAGAGGGAGGGTCAGATTCAAAATCACTCTCTGACTCCTCACCACCTTTTGTCATGTGTCCCTCTGCACTTTTCCTCCCTGGCCGGGGATCTCTAAATGCATGGCTCAGTTTTCCAGCTTTGGTTGGGGTCCCTAGGTTATTTCCTTGATTGCTGGCTGGCTTATCCACTTGTTTTCCAGGGGAACCTGCAGGTCCAAAGAAAAAAGCAAAGAAAAAAAAAAGAACTTAAACCAAAGTCAACACTTACTCCACACTCTCCACAGCCACACATGGCAGGAGCTGATGTAAACACGTATATCCTGTACTTACTGAGGTGAATGAGTTAAAAACAGATGTAATATTTCAAACAACGCTCACAAAATCAATAGTCAGAGTTGCCAGCTTTACTCCTAGAGCACAAGGTGCCTGGAAATACAGTACCAGTACTTTTGGGGCATGGAGGAGGGACCAAAGGACACAAATGATCTCACGAGACACCTTTTCCAACACACTCACTGTGCAGCTGCTCCTCTCCAGGGAAACATGAGCCAGTAGTATGGAAACACTGATTTTTTTTTTTTTTTTTTTAATCAGAGTTATTCCTGGTAGTGCTTCTGCTTTGACAAGTCTGCTCTGACAAGCTTAGTGCTCTAGTCATGAGGACAGCCCATTCTAACTTCCAGTGTGGCAAATGAGGCACAAAGAGCTCTTGCTACCCCTGGAGTTTGACAGCAGTGATTCCCACTTTGTGTCTAAATAGGATTCATCAGCTCAGCTTCTCTATAGCAAGGAAACTTAGGTATTCATTTTACTCTGACAGTTTCCTCCCCACTATTCACTGACAACTAGAGCTAAAAGAACAATTCATTGATGAATCAATCGTGGGGTGGTTGCCTTGGGAATTCTGGGAGCAGTAGAAAATTTGCAGCAGTAAAGAAAAGAGATGGCAAGAACAGGCAGAGCAGGAGAGGCTGCCCAGTGCCCCGGCACAGGTCTCATCACTCAGCAGGCCAAGTCTGTCCCTGTGTCAGAGCCCTGTGCTGTGCAGAGATGTTTTCAGGAGCCTTGGATTTCTGTTACAAAGAAGGAGTAGGAGGAAAAGCAATGCAGTCTTAGCTGGAAGGTACATTTGCCCTTAAGATACCCTTTTCTCTCAGACACAGATCACCCTGGGCCACGCTGCTTTAAGGAGCGGTGAGACTTCCCCTCTTGGCAGGCACAGAGCCACTCCCCAGATGTGTGCAGTCCTGCCCAGGGAGGCCCCCACAGGCACCCCAGCTGTGGGGACAAGCTCCTCACATCTCCAGTGTGTGACACCAGCTGGGGACAGGAGCTGCTCCTGCCACACAGTTACTCATGAGCTCTACCCACAGCACTGCCCTGGACTGCTGATCCTCCCACCAAAACCAACACCTTCCACTTGTGGCTTCGTTACACAACCACTGGAATTTAACTGACTCCATGTGTTAACAGGATTGAGAAAGCTGAGGATGGCTCTGGGTACCAGCTATTTCTACAAAAAAGATCTTCAGCCAGAATCCAACCCATAACACATAACAATTCTTCCCTTCACAAAGAAATTAGCATGCAACTTTCAGGCCAAGTCAGATTCTTTTCTTTCTATGCTTTAGTTTAGACCAGGAAACAGTGTTTTACAGAAGCATTTTCTCCTCTTTCAAAGGGAATGAACATCCAATTTTTTCATCCACCAGCTACTTTGCTCCTTTGCAATTACACTTGAAATAATCAAAATTCGGCAGCAATACAATTTATGTATGGATTTAAAAACAAGATGACCAGAATGACTGAAAACATCAGGTGATTAGGGCTTTGAGCTGTTTCTTCTTTGCTTCTGGTGTCAGATTGCTTCTTATCTACTGTAATTTTAAATGCTACATATTTGCTTTACCCACTAAATTAGAATCTGGATTATTTTGCTGCTTACTTGAGATTTCCCAAAGGTACAGCCTTCACATTGCACTATAACCCCCCAGCCTCCAAATCCTGCTGTTTCCAATATTTACTGAAACAGTAATGTTAGCATAAATGCAAATAGATTTAAAAGGAAATATTTCTAGGTTAGATGTTAACAACACACAACAAACCCCTCGAACGTTTTCTATATGTCAATATCCATGAGTTTACACTCCCAAGCAACAATTGAACCTTTGTATGTAATTTTAATACACAGAAAACAATTTATAAAGTGGTTTATTTCTTTTTAAGGCAAGAACTGAACTGTAGTTTACCTAGTATACCTGGCTTCCCAAAAGTCCTATTATTATTTGTTAAATACTGCCACACACAATCCCTGGACAACAAACTGCAAAAGGCACTGACAAGATAAAACTCACCCCAAACTCTACCAACAGCCACCGACTCACTGACCACATAACTTAAGGTACACAACGTGTACTTCTCAGTACCAGACCTCTCCAGTACAGCAAATAGGACTTGTCAGCACTCGGTGAAACACTTGGAGCAGTTTCCCACCCCACACTCCATGTCCTGGCACTGGCACACCGGCCACTCCAGCATCTCCACAGACCCACCTCTTATTCTCAACTGTTATTCTTGCTAATGATTTTGGGAGTCAGGCATCCAGACAACCCAGTCTTTTGGGAATCTATATTAGCACCTGGATATAGCACACACCAGCCTTGGTGCTGGCAGCAATGAGGCAGCTGCAGGAAAAGGAAGCCCAATGTGTGCATTTGTAAGTGTGTGCCCCCGAAAAACTATCCAAAATATCTCCATTCAGAGGCCACTGAAAATATTACAGGAGTACTTCTTTATCCAGATATAACACCCTCGTAGCACAAGGCAATGAGTGCCTCTGAGCTCGTCAGTGGTTTCTGAACAGGGTTTCCAAATCCCTAGCTTTGCAGGAGATTCCTCCTTATCCATGGTTTCTGACAGTTATGGATGTGACCTGTTTATGGCAGCAGCAGCAATCAATGTCTGTGTACTGTACAGCCTGAGAATTACCCATCAGTGACCACAAACTCACAACCTACACTAACAGCTCACTATTATCAAAGTTTCAGAACCAGCACCCCATGTATGACCCTACACAGATGCTGTCAGCAGGAAAGCCAGTGGCACACACCAGATAGTGCTGTGAGCAACAACTGCTCCTGCTACACGGGTTTGAAAAAACACTTCTATTCCAAGGGGTATTTCCAGAGCGGTGACCTCACTGCTCCCCCATCGGTGTCTGTCAGGAAAGAGCAAGTATCTTGCTTTGTTCCTCAGTCTGTGTGGAGGTGCTGGAAACAACCAGAGCCATCTGCTCCGAGCAGAAAATACTCCAAGATACTCATCTTCAACACTTTTAGTCCTACCTGGCCAACCTTCAGGAACAAACCCTCTCTGCATGCACCTTCACACCTGCAGTGGCTTCAGGTTAGCCTCAGGAACAGAGAGAAAACTGGTGTCAAATCCAAACCAAAGAAACAAAAATATCCTCTCTAGAACTATTGGGTTTTATACCACAACAGAAATAGTTTGTTTTTCTACACTTCAGCTGCCCCTGTCTCACTGCTAAAGAAGTCAGCAAATGAAATAAAGAGCACTACACACAGAAACAATGCCCCAAAATGGAAAATTTCCTGCTTAATGGCAATTTAATGCTCTGGTCAAACAGCTTTCCTAACTGAGGCCTTGTGTCACATTGATTTCATGCCCTCTTCTCAGGCTGCCCTGCTGCAGACACTGTTCAGATACATATTTATACCGAAATGCTGCACACTGGTGAGTAACATCTGTTTGCAATGTGCTGTTCAGATTACCACACTTCTAATCAGGTTTGCAGCTTGTAGCAAACAATTGTTCTTTGCTCAAATGCGAGCCAGGTGGAACATCTTTAATCGTATAAGAAGATCCCAATCTTCAAGGAAATTTTCTGATGTTCTTTTTCGAGACACAGGATTATAAGAGGATGAATTCCCTCTAACAACTGCAATAATTACATGCCTTCTGCTGGCCCCTCATTTTAGGGTATTGCGGGGGTGGCTCAGGAGTGGGGTATAAGAGCTTTAAGCTTCCTTGGAATTGGGAACATACTGCCACCATCATTTCAGAACAATTTGCCACATGTCAGCCCAAGGATTACCCACGGGCTGCAACTAAATCTGCACCAGTTCTCTGACCAGAGCCAGGCCAGCAGCTGCTCAGCACTGTAATGGATTTACACTACTTACCACCTTTATTTTCAAGAACAACAAAAACGGGAGAACACCACACTTCTGCCTCGCCTACTGCTGACATTTCTTTTCAATAATTACTCTAAAGGTTGAAACGTGTCATAAAAGGAGTGAAATGTGTGCATGATTGTTCCAAGCTTCAAAAAAAAAAAAAAAAAAAAAAAC